TGAAGTGACTTCAGAATGCCTCAAAACTGATGGGGATCTTTACCACAGGAAATGTATGAATTGATATATTCTCGTATTAACAAAGCGATTAAAATGGTCCAATTGTTGCGGTTGTTGTTGTTGTTGTTATTATTATTATCATTATATTATTTTTATTATTATTATTTTATTGTTATCACTAACGGGACCATTGGTGATTCCATGTAACAACAACACATAATAATAATAATAATAATAAGGGTAATAATAACAATAAAGATGTACTCCTCTCTCCCTCTTTCTCCCTCCTCCTCCTACCCTTCGTCTGCCCTCTCCCTCTACCTTTCCCTTTCCCGTTCTGGCACTCCCTCTTACTCCCAAATCTTCCTTAAATTCAGTTCTCTCTTCCCACGTCCCTTCTTTCCTCCCTATTCCACTCCCTTATCCCCTTCCCTTCCTATCCTATCCCCTTTTTTTTCTCTGAGCCCCCCCCCCCCTCTCCTTTACCTCTCCCCTTTTCCTCTTTAAGTCTTCTCTGTTTCCCCTTTCCCATCTCCCTTTTTTCTTTCTTTTTCCCCCTTCCTTTCTCCTTCCTTCTTGACCTTCCCCGTCGGTTAGTATAAATAATAAAAGTACATAAACTGGTGGTTTAAATATTTCATTTGCAATTGAATCGAAGAAGAGGAATGATAATAATAATAATTATAATAATGTCAATAAAAGATAGAAACATTAATGATAAGAATAACTGTAATAATGGTAATAAGAATAAAAACAATGATGATAATAATAAAAGTAATAATGATAATAAGAATAAAAACAATGATAATAATAATAACAGTAATAAAATGATGATAATAACAATAATGATAATACTACAGAGTTGGTATAGGATTCTCATGTATAAGTAATATGATGCCCGTATGTGATTCTTTGATATGTATCATATCAGTTATCATCCCATTTTGCACCAAAATTAATTGACTTCAAGTCCCCATTCACATGGAATACGATTCTAAACATAAAATGTCCAACTGAGATTAAAGTAAAACTTAAGCTTTGCTATCAAATTTGATTTCAGGCGTATAATATAAGCGTAAATTAAGTACGGACGGACTGACGTACAAACACAATCAGTATTATAAGGAATTATCATTATTATTGTTATTATGAATATTATTATTATCATTATCATTATCATTATTATTATAATTATTATTATTATTATTATTATCATTATTATTATTATTATTATTATTATTATTATTATCATTATCATTGTTATTATTATCATTATTATCGTTTTATCATTATCATTATTATTATTTTTATTACTGATGAGGCATTATTGGAAACAGTACGAAACGAAACTGGAAAAATATGAAGCCATCCGATAGACATAACATTCTAAGACACTTTTCCTCTACAGCATTTCTCTTCTAAACCAATAATAAGAATAGGAGAAAGGATGCAAAACTCAAACTTTCCTGTCCACTCCACGCTACGCACTCTTCCAGCACCAAAGAAAAAAAAATGACGCCAAGTTCAAAAACCGACGTAATAATCAGGCGTCAAGCGGAATAATGTTGAATGGTGAAAACATACTATGGTACAGAAACCCACAATGTAAAACTAGATTTATTGAAAATGAGACAACAGTTGTTATTCTCAGTTGTGATGTGAAGGTAGACACAAACTTCGAAATATATCAACACTCATGGTGTTCTTTATCTCAAGAAACGTTTGAATATATTCTCGTATGAATTAAGGTGATCAGGTATGTTCCCATTGTTGTTATGATTATTGTTATTATTATCGTTATTATGATTATTGTTATCATTATCATTGTTATTATTGTTATCATTATCATTATCATTTATATTATCATTGTCATTTTCATC